CAAGGAACTCCAAAATCTCAACAGCAAAAACAAAACAAAACAAAAACAACAAACCAATTTAAAAATGGGCAAATGATCAGCACACTAGTATAACTGTAATACTATGGATAACCATATGGAGGGTCCTCAGAAAACTGCAAGTAAAACTACCACATGATCCAGCAGTCCCACTGCTGGGCATCTACACAAAGGAAAGGAAATCAGTATATCAAAGAAGCATCTGCACCCCACGTTTATTGCAGCACTATTCATAGTAGCTAAGATACGCAATCTACCTAGGTGTCTAACAGCCTAGGTTGATGAATGGATAAAGAAATTGTGTTACATATACGTACAGTGGAATACTATTTAGCCATGAAAAGAATGAAATCCTGTTATTCGCAGCAATGTGGATAAAAGTGGAGGACATTATGTCGAGTGAAATAAGCCAGAAACAGAAAGTTAAACACCGCATGTTCTCACTCATATGTGGAAGCTAAAATAAAACTGACCTCATAGAAGTAAAAAGTAGAACAGAGAATATTAGAGGCTGGGAAGGATATGGGGGAAGAGGAGGACAGGGAGAGATTTGTTAAAGGATAAAAAATTACAGCTAGTTAGGAAGAGTAAGTTCTAGTGTTCTGTGCCACTATACAATGACTATAGTTAACAATAATATACTATATAGTTTTAAATAGCTAGAAGGAGGATAGTGAATGTTCCCAACACAAAGAAATGATAAATGTTTGCGATGATGGATATGCTAACTACTCTACTCTGGTCACTGTACATTATATGTATGGAAACATCACTAGGTACCGCATAAATATGTACAATTATTATATGTCAATTTAAAACAAGTCAATGCTACTTAAAGTATAAATATGGTTTAAATTTTAAACTATTAATTGGACAGTATTTTTTAAATTGAGGCTTGCAATTTAGGAGGGAGATGATGCCAATTCCCTAGTGGGTTGTAACCAGCTTTTTTTTAATGAAATAGAAAATGTATCTGTGCTTTATGTGGATCTTTAGGAAAAAAAAATAGGAAAAAAGTAAACCTTGAAACAAATATTTAGTGTCAATGCATAACACACACACACACACACACACACACACATATATATATAAAATTTCTAAACACTTGATGTTGAATTTATTTCTTACCATGGTTTATTTCTACAGAGGTGGAAAGATGCTATATTGGAGTAATTCATTTTTTGATAGAATTGAAGATTTGTGAAGTCACATACTTTACGTTGCTAATGGATTCACATCCACTTGACACAGAAGAAACAGCACAAAACGGAAAGTCAGTGAGGAATTCAGATTTTAAACATTTCTGCCTTTTCTGGTTTAAAAAAAAAATTAACAAGTACAATATCCAAGCAAGGGGCTTAAACTTGTGAAATTATAGAAGATACGATGCTCTGTAAAGAAGAATCTTTAAGTCGATATACAGCCAAACCTGCATAATTTAAATTCCCTTAGCCAACATATTTCAATGTATACTGGTAGCACTTAAAATTTATATGGGGAACAATGATAAAAATTGGATTTTACTGAGAGAACAATACAAATTGTATTGTTTTGTATTGTACAAACAATACAAAAATTTGTTTGTATTGCAAACGAATCAGTCAAGTATATCAAGTCATATACTGTATCTTTTAACTATTTCCAAATGAGTGAATACTTCATTTTCTTGCCCCTTCTAAGTAATATTTTAAGGAATTGTTTTGTAGGTATAAAATAAATACTGAGGTATCTAATAATCTAGGTAGAGTTGCCGTTGCCTTGATTAAAATTTGCAGAAAGTTAACAGCTCTGGGCCATTATTAAGACTAATTACTTTGCCCTAATCTGGATTTAGCAGATTGTTCAGTGTATAATTGACTTGTTTTTATGCATCATGATTTCAGTGTATTTCAGTCTACTTATATATGTTCTTCATTCCCTGAAAACCCTGAAAATATGCAAATGACGACATTTTGCCAACACCAACGGTGGCTTTTAATCACAATGATTTCTGAAAGGATTAGCCTGTCTCCCAGACAATGCTCAATGTTGATGCTTCATTCCCAGGGTCAATTCTTTCCTACCCTACACAACCCAAAACTGAACACAGACTAGATACCAGGAGGTGACATTCACAGGAAGAAAGAACGCCAGCATGCAAAGCTAATTGCAAAAATCATTCTCCTTGTCGAAAATTTTATCAATGAAAGATAGAGGAAATAAAACTAAAAAGGTAACATAGCTTTTTTAGCAATCATTTGGAGAAAAGATTGATGTGATTTTTTTTTTTGATGGGATAACAGAATTGGAAGGATAAAAGTTCCTGATGTTTTTATACTTTGTGAACACGTTAAGGCTACTCTAGATTCTAGAATCTAGAAGAAAGATTAAGCCTTTACTTTATAAAACTGGCACCTCTGCAAG